TCACATCTGGTAACTGTGGCACACCTGGTGACTGCATCACATCTGATGACTGTGGCACACCTGGTGACTGCATCACATCTGGTAACTGTGGCACATCTGGTGACTGCATCACATCTCCTGATGACTGTGACACACCTGGTGACTGCATCACATCTGGTAACTGTGGCACACCTGGTGACTGCATCACATCTCCTGATGACTGTGGCACACCTGGTGACTTCATCACACTTCCTGGTGACTGCATCACACCTCCCAGTGACTGTGTTACACCTCCTAGTGAGTGTATTGCATCTCCTGATGACTGCATCACACCTCCTAGTGACTGTGTTACACCTCCTGATGACCGTATCACACCACCGGGTAACTGCATCACTTCTGATGACTGTGGCACATCTCTCAGCAGTGGTGGCACATCTTGCAGTGACTGCAGCACATCCTGTAGTGACAGTGGCATGTCTTGCAGTGACCATGGCATGTCTTGCAGTTGTGTCACATCTTGTGGATAGGACAGGTTTTGAGGTCGACCTGGCGCATCTTGAGGTAGGCCCAGAGTGTCTTGGGGTGGGTATAGTGGGTGTTGATGAGGATGCCATGATAAATTTTGACGTGTGCTTGGTATATTCTGCTGAGGGCATGGCACATCTTGAGGAGGGCATGGCACTTCTTGAGGTGGATGAGGCAAAGCTTGGAGTTGGCACTGCACAGTTTTTGATGGACATGACAAAGTTTGTGATGGACATGACAAGGCTTGTGGTGGACCTGACAAGGCTTGTGGTGGACACGAGGAAGCGCGTGGTGGACATGGTGAAGCTCTTAGTGGGCATGATAAGGCTTGTAGCGGGCATAGCAAGCCTTGTGGTTGGCAAGGCACATCTTGCTGTGGGCATGGCAAAGAGGCCCTCTGATTGCTGCTGCTACTGTTATTGCTTGTTGAGGAGAAGGAGCTAACATCTGAAGAGAGATGTAGGCTTGTCAAGAAGCTGAGGCCACCTTTGTACGTGATTGAGCTACAGTTTGGCTCTGATGGATAAACAGAGTCCTGGCTGATAGCTGTAGGGGGTCGAGAACCTTCAAACATGTTTTCCTCCAACAAATCCAAATCCACAGGATCATTGTTGACCATTCTCTGTGCTGTAGGCTGAGAGCCTCTATCTCCCTGGGCTTCCATCACCTCTTTGCCTGAAAGACTGGGACATGTCTGAAGACTGGGTGGCTCCTTCTGAGAGGAAGCGACAGGTTCCAAAGTCAAATCAAGAGTGGCAATAGGTCTATTTTCTTCCTCACTTCTTGTCAGATCAATCACACAGAGTCCATTACGATCTTTTGCCCTTGTTCTGGTCTCTCTAGTTAGGTCAATGAAGTCCTATTAAAGATTATGACAAGAATAGAGAAGGGCACATTAACTTTGAGAGGGCTGAGGTTTTAGCTCTTAAAGATAAACATCTCTTTACTTTTTTTTTTAAATCTCATTGATATTCTATACATATCTGCAGTGCTAGTGATTGAACCCAGAGCCTTGTACATGCTGGGTAAATGCTCTACCTCTGAGCTATCTCTCTAGCTTCCTATATATCTTCTATAACATAAGTATTAGTTTTATTTTCTTTAGTTAACATTTTGCTAATGTGTGGTAGAATATTATTTTAACTAGGCAAAGATGTGTTAACGTTGTTTATGCTGCAGAATATTACTTTAATTGTGTAAAGGTGTGTTACGTTTGTGCTGCATGTTTAACTACGTAAAGTATGTTTCATTTGTTTTACCTTGTTTGCACCTGATGGGTCTAATAAAAAGCTGAACAGCCAATAGCTAAGCAGGAGAGGGATAGGCGGGGCTGGCGGGCAGAGAGAATAAGTAGGAGGAGAATCTAGGCTCCAGAGAGAAGAAGGGGAAGAGAAGGAGGGAAAAAGAGAGGGACATGCCCAGGGCCAGAAGTCAGGCAGCCAACAGCCAGACATGGAGACAGCAGGAAAGTAAGATATATAGAAAGAAAGAAAGAAAGAAAGAAAGAAAGAAAGGAGGGAGGGAGGGAGGGAGGGAGGGAGGAAGATAAAAAGCCCTGAAGCCAAATATATATAAGAGAAACGGATTAAAATAAGAGCTAAGATAAGGCTGAGCATTCATAACTAATAAGTCTCTGTGTCATGACTTGGGAGCCGGCTGGTGGCCCGAAAAGAAAGCCTAGTAAAAGCTGTCAACAACTTCTTTTTTTTTTTTTTTTCCTCCCCCGAGACAGGGTTTCTCTGTGTAGTTTTGCGCCTTTCCTGGGACTCACTTGGTAGCCCAGGCTGGCCTCGAACTCACAGAGATCAGCCTGCCTCTGTCTCCCGAGTGCTGGGATTAAAGGCGTGCGCCACCACCGCCCAGCCCAAAGCTGTCAATTTCTATACATTTATAAACTATCTAAATGCCAGATGTATGTGAGAATGCAATGGGTTGTTTTGTTTTGTTTTGTTTTTCTGATCCAAGAAAGACAGATAAATAGTAGAGAATATTGCATTCTTCACAAAGAGAAAGCAACCTTTGCTTGAAAAGCAAATTTCCAGGATAATCTGCAACAGAAGCTAAGCAAGATGGTAAGTTAATATGAGTACTAAGTACTAAGAACACATTAAGTGTTTGTTACTGCATTCAGGATTCCCAAAGATTCCTAGTCTCACCAGAGAAGGCTCTTGAGGATGGATATGTAAATAGGAAAAAATTTATTAGGGGAAAATTTCAAAAGTACACTCTTAAAAGGGAGAGAAAAGTAGGCAACTTAGATAATAGGCAACTGGATAATTGAGCTTTTAAGGGCTAGAGGAAAATCCTCCATAACATTATGCATATGCAAGTGTAAATTTTTTCTGGAAATTGGGAGGACATTTTGAGACTCAGAGGAGAGGTTTGACTAAACACAAAATGTCAAAGGCAGCATCTATGTGAAAGTACAGTTATAATGAAATGCTAAAGAAATGACGGGGCTTTGGGGTCTCTGAATCTCCAATAGAGCACAGCTAACTATAATAGCAGGATGCTGTGCAGTCTGTATCTGGATGAAGCCATGACCATCACAGGTTAAATTTACATCCAATGGGGCTAGAGAGATGGCTCAGTAGTTAAGAGCATTGGCTACTCTTCTCAGAGGACTGGGTTAGACTCCCAGCATCCATAAGATGGTTTACAAGCATCTGTAGCTTCAGTCCCAGGGGACTGGATACCCTCTTCTGGTCTCCATGGATGTAAGACACATAGCTGATAAACAGACACAGACACAGGCAAAACACTCATACATATAAAATAAAATTAAAAATATTTACATCCCATTATCTTGTCTCCCTGATTACTCATGTCATTTTTTCTGATTTCTTAAATTTTCACAATGATACTGCAGGATAGTATTGCCATCTCCATTATATACATGCAAAAATTAGTTTTGCGGGACCAGGTTACTTACTAAGGATTATACAGCTAAGTAATAGGAGCAGACATTCAAATCCAACTGTCTGCCTTTCCTGTTGAGGGCCTAGGGATGCATAACTTTTTCCAATATGCAATCAGCTTTATTGTCTTTGTCTTTTCTTTTTAAGTGACTTATTTATTTTATGCATTGGTATTTTGCCTGCTCATCTGTCTGTGTGAGAATGTCATATCCCCTAGAACTGGAGTTCTAGACAGTTGTGAGCTGCCATGTGGGTGCTAGAAATTGAACCTGGGTCCTCTGGAAGAACAGTCAGTGCTTTTAACTACTCTAAACCATCTCTCCAGACCCCATCTTTCCTTTTTGGAGACAGGATCTCACTTTGTAGCTCTGGCTGTCCTGGAACTCACTATGCAGACCAGGCTGGTCTTGAACTGACAGACATCCACTTGCTTCATCCTCCTGAGTGCTGGGATTAAAGGTATGCGCCACTACACCTACCCTGTAATCAGGTTTAAAGATTGTTTTTAAAACAATAAGGGGTAGGTATAAAAGCAATGGTCTGAATTTTAACTAATGGAAAACCACCAATACTGTGGGATGTTCTGTGTTTACTTGGTTGGGTCTGAGCGGCTGTGGGACTGGCGGGTGACAAAGATTTGTCCTGACTGTGGGCAAGGCAGGAAAACTCTAGCTACACACTAATCTTCAATCCCATTCCTCAGCAGGTTGATCAAACAAATTATAGAGTTGATGATGCCAGCCAGAGATACTGTCACCACCTGTTGTGCCATGAGCCTGAAATAACACTGTGTTAGTCTCCAGGTGTCTTCTCACCTGACTGGGTACCATCACCATTGGCATATTATGGTCTGGCCATGCTAACTATTGCCACCATAGCCAGCATACAATTTCTCTCACTTTTAAATGTTATTATTGTTATTTTAGTTAGCATACAAAGTGTTTATGATACTTCTTTACAAATGTTTGCCTTCTTGGTGGTCATGAATGGCTTTCTTCATCTCCCCCACTCCTTTCCCTCTGCTTTCACGCTGTTTCTCCTAATAGATATGAAGGTCACCATTGTCAACAGATTCAAAGATAAGGAGTTCTGAGTGGGTCAAGTACAAGTCTGGTATGTATCTAGTCCTGGAATAGGAATTGTTTGGCAAAATCAAAAGCCTCAGTTTCTAGGAAAGGACCACACTGCATTGGTACCTTTGATAATACTCAACAGCCAGTTGAACATACAGAGCTAAAAGTCTACTCCAAAGGTCTGAATTTAACTCGCCTCCCACAGCCAACTGCTAAAATGCAACATTACCAGGTTGGGGGGTATAGCTCAGTGTTAGAGTACTTCCTTGCAAAAGACCCTGGACTCAATCCCCAGCAACAGACACATACATACATACACATCACATGTCACTCCCATTTTCAACCATCATCAGTTTGACATGAACTTCAGGATTAAAGTCAAATGCCTTAGCAAGATTCATAAAGGTTCTACATCATAAGCCTAGTACTGTCTATTCCTTAACACATGGTGCACCCCCAAATGTGCTAAATTTCTCAAGAATCTTTTGTTTGTGTCTGTTCTTTCTCTTACCTGCAGTGACTATGGTCACTTTATTGATTTTCTAACTATCTCTCTTGAATTCCTTTTGTTTTTTTAGTTATACATCTTTTAATTATATTTTCAGTGGCTGACTTGGGGACTAGAGTCTGGAAATTCACTATGTTCTAGTATCTTAGAAAAAGTTATAGCCGGGCAGTGGTGGCATACACCTTTAATCCCAGCACTCGGGAGGCAGAGCCAGGAGGATCTCTGTGAGTTTGAGGCCAGCCTGGTCTACAGAGCAAGACCCAGGACAGGCACGAAAACTACACAGAGAAACCCTGTCTCGAAAAACAAACAAACAAACAAACAAACAAACAACAACAACAAAAAAAGTTATATTATTGTGTGAGTGTTCTGTATGCATGTGTGTCCTGATGCCCTCGGATCCCCTGGGATTGTGGTTACAGATGGTTATGAGCTGCCAGGTGGGACATCTGGAAAAGAAGGCAGTGCTCTTAACCACAGAACCATCGTTCCAACTCCTATCTCTTAAAGTGTTAGTTTTTAAGCCTATATTTAGAATTTCTGATGCTCTTCATTTCTTTGTGGAAATATGCATTTCCACTTGATGTCATTTATTTTCAGCCTAAATATCTTGTAGTGCAGGGGTTCTAGTGAAAAGTTCAGTTTATATTTAAAAATGTTTTTATTTTGCTTTCACTCTTGGAGGTAATTCTGTAGACACAGAATTCTCAACTGAAAAGTTTCTTTCTTCCATTATTTGAACATGTCAATCTGAGTCTTTTGGCCTCCACAATTACAAGATGTATAACTGTTTTCTATGTGTAACATGTAAATTTTCTCTGTGTAGATTTAAAAAAAGTTCTCTTTGTTTATTCTTCCATGTTTCTTATTTTTTGGGTCTGTACATTGGTCTCCCCCAATCAAATCTGATCAATTTCATCAGTTGTTTTTTCAAAAACATTTCTCTCATCTATCCCTGCTCCTTTAAGACTCCTTTATACACATTTTGGTACCCTGCATAACTATGTAGTTATTGAGTTTTATTAATCTCCCTGTCCATTCTGTTTTTGAACTTGGTGATTTCTATATTTGTCTTGAACTTCCCTGTTTGCTCTGTCACTATTTTCCATTTTCTGATGAGCTCATTTAGTATATTTAAAAAACATTCAGTTATGGCAGATCTTTACCTCTCCCTCCCCTCCTCCAAATCCAGCCCCTCAGTTTTGTAGCAGACAACCTGCTTCAGCTTCCTACCCACCATGCCCCCATCTCCAGTGGATCCTACAGATCTTCCCTCCTAAATTCCCTCCCCCACTCATTGCTTCATCCCAGCCTCCAACCCCAGCAGGCACCCCCTGGGAACCTGTAGGCATCTCCAGCCAGAGAAGCAGCCCCCAACTCCAACACGTATCAGAAGCTATCAAAAGATGGAAAGATCTTCCATGCTCATGGATCAGTAGGTTTAACATAGTAAAACTGGACAACCTACTAAAAGCAATCTACAGATTCAGTGCAATTCCTTTCACAATTTCAACACAATTCTTTACAGACCTTGAAAGGACAATTCTCAACTTCATATGGAAAAACAAAAACCAAAGATAGCTAAAACAATCCTGAACGATAAAAGAACTGCTGGAGGTGTCACCATCCCTGATTTCAAGTTATATTTCAGAGCTATGGTAATAAAAGCCACATGGCTTTGATACAGAAACAGACACACATTGATCAGTGTAACTGAACTGAAGACCCAGACATAAATCCACATACTATGGACACCTGGTTTTTGACAAAGACACCAGAAATACATACTGGAAAAAAGACAGCCTCTTCAACATATGGTGCTGGTCAAACTGGACGACTGCATGTAGAAGAATCCAAATAGATCCATTCACACTTATCACCTTGCACAAAACTCAACTCCAAATGGATCAAAGATCTCAATATAAAACCAGATACACTGAACCTAATAGAAGAGAAAGTAGGAAATAGCCTTGAACTCATTGGCATAGGAAAAGACTTTGAACAGAACACCGTTAGCACAGGCACTAAGATCAATAATTAATAATTGAGACCTCATGAAACTGAAAAGCTTCTGCACAGCAAGACATCACCATTCAGACAAAGTGGCAGCCAACAGAATGGGAAAAGATTTTTACCAACTACATATCCAATAGAGGGCTAATATCCACAATACATAAAAAACTAAAAAAACTAGATATCAAGAAAACAATCCAATAAAAAAAAATGGGTAGCATACATTCCACTGTAAAGAACTCATCCTACAAACATCCTATCATAGTCTTCAATAGCAAAAGTAAGAGATTCTCTGTGTAGTTTTGGTGCCTGTCCTGGATCTCGCTCTGTAGACCAGGCTGGCCTCAAACTCACAGAGATCCACCTGCCTCTGCCTCCCGAGTGCTGGAATTAAAGGTGTGCAACACCACCGCCTGGCCCAGTTGAATCATTTTTATGTCAGAATAGCATAAGCTGATAAAGAACTGTGTACCAGGATCCATATTATATACAGGGAATAACAATATCAACAATATTGTCTATAATCTGAATGAGGTAGAGAAGTTCAATTTAAATGCCTAAAATTATTATGAGCTTTTAAAAAGTTACTACAATCTCAGAGCTGGGGATATATCCCAGTTTGTATCATGTCTGCCTAAGAGACATGAAGCCCTAGGTTTGATCCCCAGCACCCCATAAACCAAGTACAGTCATACACGCCTACAAGCTCAATATTCAGGAAGTGTAATGGGGGAAGCAGAAGGTCATCCTCAGCTACACAGGAAATTTGAGGCTAGCCTGAGCTAAAGGAGACCCTGCCTCAAAAGTCTATTAGAAAAGAATTAGATACTTAAAAACATCTGTGCATCCATATAGGGAAATTTTTCTGTAAGTAATACACACAAAAAACTGTAGCTCTCCAGACAGTGGAAATGGTTTATCATTGCTTACAATCTTGAATTTCTTACCTCTCCTTAAAATTATATTTATAATCTAAAGTGGTGAAAATTCATTTTTCCAAAGATGATTGTGGACCTTAAGAACAGCAATAAGTTTTCCCTTTACGGTGAAGTAAATTATTTATTAGCTATGATGGCTGTTCAATCCAAGGTATTGTATGGATGGATTTTATTATGTGGGATCATATCATAAAGGTATTTTTAAAAGATGCACTAGAATAAAGACATATTTGTAATCTGGATAATACAAAAATACAAATTAAGTTCCTCTCCTAAGAGAGAGAACACCTACTGTGCTGGCTAGTTTTATGTCAACTTGTCACTCTAGAGTGATCTGCGAGAAAGGAACTTCAATTGAGAAAATATATAAGATCAGGCTGTAGGCAAGACTGTAGGGTATTTTCTTAATTGGTGATTGATGGGGGAAGCCCAGTCCATTGTGAGTGGGGCCACACCTGGGCTGGTGGTCCTGGGTTCTGTAAGAAACTGATGGGCTGGAGAGATGGCTCAGAGGATAAGAGCACTGATTGCTCTTCCAGAGGTCCTGAGTTCAATTCCCAGCAACCACATAGTGGCTCACAACCATCTATAATGAGATCTGGTGCCCTCTTCCAGCATGCAGGAATATATGCAGACAGAACCCTGTATTCGTAATAAATAAATAAATCTTGAAAAAAGAAAGAAAGCAGGCTGAGCAAACCGGAATGCGTCACTCCTCACGGCCTCTGCATCAGCGCCTGCCTCCAGGTTCCTGCCCCATTGGAGTCCTGTCCCATCTTCTTTCGATGATAAACAGTGATGTGGAAGTGTAAGCTAAATAAGCCCTTTCCTCCCGAAGTTGCTGTTAGTCATGGTGTTTCTTCACAGCAATGGTATCCCTAACTCAGACACCTACCTTTGGGTGTAGGAAGAACCTCCAAAGGCAACCTAGAATGAATGAGCACTCCACAAGTGATTTACAGGCTTATGTAGTAGCTGACCTTGATTTAGTACATATATTAGGAAGAACAGAGAACGACTCCTGGACTAATAGAAGCCACAGCATCTGGAGCATGGTAGGGGTTCACTAGATTTCTGTGGAGGGTTCTAGAAAGGCAGAGCTCTTTTTATTCACCACTTCAGGAGTAAGGACAAAGATGAAGGATCTTGAGGAAAAACAAAGGTGTAAGTGCCCCGCCCCCGGGCTTTGTACGTGATTCGTATCTGCAAAGCGAAATAAACCGTCCTTCCCCACAACTCAAAAATCGGGCCCCTGGCTCGGAAAGTAGGCCCTGGAGCGCAGCCGCCTCCGTGCCAAGGGCGGCGCTCCCCTCGCTCGCAGCCGGGGCTCCTGTTACCTCCCTGCACACATCTGTGCCCATCACCAGCCGAACAATTACGCGCTCCCGCGCGCCCGCCTCGAGGTCCGGTGGCGGCTGCGGCCTGGCCGGGATCCCCACCTCCTCCCCGCTGCCAAAAGCTCTGGTGCCACCCCGGGCCGGAGGCCACCGGCGGCCGCTGCATGGCAGTCCGCCCTGGTGC